CATACATTTATATAGAGCTGGGTTCCAGGAGAGGGTGGTTAGTACACGGGGTGGTAGTTGATTGGCCGGGGGTGGGTAATGATTTCTGATAGGCTGCACCTTGGCGCCGGCAAGATTGTTAGGACCCAGAAGAGAAAAGCGCCATGTTTTAGGGAGTGCCTCCTTTGGGGTTTTCTATGGGGCCTTACAAACGTAATACAAAACAATGGCCCCCTATGATTTTTATTTAACACTAAATAATATTGATTCTTGAGGGATTGAAATCAGAATGCCTGGTTTCCAAGCAACTCTAGATGTTCTATCCTTAGGCAACTTACCCTTCTCTTCTAGGAGCCTTAATTTTCTTTTCTGAAAAACCCTCAGGGGTCATGGTCAAGAAAACATACTTGAAAGCTGTTTGATATGTAAAGTGCTTTGGCTTCTTTCTAAAATTCAAACAGCAGGCTGAGATTCCAGTTCCATCACAACAACAATGAAAAAGATTTTAGTTATGCAGTGCACTTTTTAACCTTGCTTGAGGAAGTAATTCTTTATAAGAATACTTTGAACCTTAACACTGCCCTTGAATCTGTTTCTGTAAGGACTGATATCATTGGTTACCTTGAGGAGCAGAACTGGGTAGGCAGTGGTTAGGGGTCAGAAGGAATATTTTCCTCTATACATTTTTGTTCTTTTGGCTCTTGAACCATGGGACTGCACTATTCAAAAAATAGATGCAATTAAAAATTTTAAAAAAGAAACCTTATGGGCCGGCCCGGTGGCGCACTGCTACAGTGCGCTGCTTGAGAGTGCGGCGGTGCTCCCGCTGAGGGTTCGGATCCCACATACAGAACAGTTCCCGCTCACTGGCTCAAAAAAGGAAAAAAAATAAAATAAAATAAATAAATAAATAAAAAAGAAACCTTATACTTGGACTTCCAGTATCTTTCTACTCTTTGAGCTGCTTGTCCAGCCACAAGAGCCAGGATGCTGCCTGCCATGAGACAGCAGGCATGGGGAGGGTATAGAAATATGGTAGCATCATAACAGGTGCTCTGTAAATACTTAGTGCTGGATTAATTGACTTTCATATTTAGTGAATATATATTATTTTTCCATAATGACTCTATGGTTTTGGTCTGTTATACTGTAGAGGTAAAGATAACCCCCAACCTTTTTGGTAAACAACACCAGGTACTTAGGACTTTTCATTACCAGATGATTAGGACTTTCTGTTGCCAGGGGGAAGGGACTTTCCAAAGAGCCCAAAGTTAACCCAGGTCCAGGAAGGGCCTAACCACAAAAGGAGTGGGCCATTGGTCAATTCTCCAGTTCCTCGACTGTGTACCACCCCACTGAAGGCCACCAATGAAATTAAAAGTCACCTCAGATGACCAATAAGCTGTGTACAACCCATCCTGTTGCTAAAGTCTGCCTACCAAACTGTATAAAAAGTGCTTGTGTTAAGAGCTTGGGGCCGCTTCTATCCTGAAGACAGAGTGACCCCAGCATGCTGGAATAAAAACCTCTTGCTTGATTGCAATGATCTCTGTCTCCAGGTCTTTGTGAGATGAGCCTTCCCAACAAGTAAGATTTGCGTTTTCAGGCCAGTCTTACAATACCTGTAGAAACGAAACAAAAAAGACACATCTCTCATGTTTTCTTATTTCTTAGCAAGAGTGTCTTGACCATTTGCTGGTCAACTTGAGAATGGAAGCGCTCTTTGTGAAGGAGAATTTTAACATTCGATGGGTTGCCCAAACAGGATTTGTGGAAAATATCAACAATATCCTCAAAGAGTACAAGCAAAGCAGAGGATTACTGGTAACTATAACTATTTCCTGTTTAAACTTATGATTTCAGCACAGTGAAAGAAACTTTTAGTGTAATTATACCAGCGAAAGTATTTTCTTTTTCCAACATCCAAATTTCTATTTTTTTTTTTTTTTAAAGATGACCGGTAAGGGAATCTTAACCCTTGACTTGGTGTTGTCAGCACCGTGCTCACCCAGTGAGCGAACCGGCCATCCCTATATAGGATCTGGACCCATGGCCTTGGTGTTATCAGCACCTCATTCTCCAGAGTGAGCCACAGGCCAGCCCTCAAATTTCTAATTTTAAGTCGCTTTTCAAATTTGATAAATTTGTCCAGGTCTGACAATCTACATGCATATTATATTAATATTTGTCAACCAAAGATTAGAAATTTTAATGTTAACATAATAACTGTTCTGCAAATTGAACATGAGAGTAAGCTCAGTGTCACAGAGTTCTCTATATGAGAAAAAATATCAGGTGCCTTGCTGGCCTGCCTGTTTCAGCCCTGAGTGTACATACAGGAAAGGGTAGTAGATGCTTATTAAATTCCTGCTAAGTGAATGAACATGAACCAGAACATGAACTATCTGACTGGGGGGCAGATGCTTGCAGGGTGATGTGGTAGTCACCTCCATGGCAGGGTGTAGAGGTGGCGGCTCTGGAGTCTCACAGAGGGAAGAGAGTTAGCCTGCAAGGCACATCCCTGGAGTAAAAAACACTGTGTCTAGTCACAGATTGTTCAGAGCTCGCCATATGTTCCTTATTCCCCTCTTTCAGCCAATTAAGATTTGTGTTCTCGGTCCTCCTGCTGTGGGAAAATCCAGTATTGCTGAAGAATTGGCCAAGTACTACAAACTGCATCACATCAAACTGAAGGATGTTATTGCCGAAGCCATAGCAAAACTGGTAATGCTTTTAACAACTTTACTGGGAATTTTTACATTTTAAAAAGGCTTTTCTAATTGGTAAAGGGCCATAAAAATGATTACATTGTGTAATGCTGAATATACTAATTATCCTGATTTGAGCATCACATATTGCACATCGGTATTGATAGTCAACGCTGTACCCCACAGATATGTACAATCAACTATGTTTCGGTAAAAAAATTAAAATTTAAAAGGTAAATTAATTAAAAAAATAAAAACACTGGGCCGGCCCACGGCTCACTTGGGAGAGTGTGGTGCTGATAACACCAAGGCCACGGGTTCGGATCCCATATAGGGATGGCCGGTTTGCTCAATGGCTGAGCATGGTGCTGAAAACAGCAAGTCAAGGGTTAAGATCCCCTTACCGGTCATCTTTTAAAAAAATTAAATTAAATTAAATTTAAATTTAAATGCTTTTCTTAGTCTTGTAATAAACAAGCAACTAATTTTACATGTTGGTCTTCAAAGAGATTTGTTATTTTACCACTCTCAGCCAGTGAGGGCACTGGCCATCCCTATATAGGGATCTGAACCCATGGCCTTGGTGTTATCAGCACCACAGTCTCCCGAGTGAGCCACGGGCTGGCCCGAGATTGTTATTTTAATTGAACTTTATTGGCCCCAGTTATGAAAAAATAGAATCCCACGGAGCTTTCCTCTGTGAAATGGAAGCATCTTTTACAGGTTTCCCTTGACATTTTGTCTGCCTCCGGTTATTGCTCAAAGCATATCTTGTATTCTGTCTGTTGACTGGAACTTTTTAGGCTTTTTATTCTTGCTTTATGTTTCCCAGAGTACTATCAGACTGTTTACTTATTAACTACTTTTTATCTTCTTATTGGGAATGGTAGATACTAAGGTACATTTCCATAAACGATTACTAAAAGTCTTGATTTCCACAAAATGTGTTTCCTTCAAGTAAGAAATAACCTAATACCTTACAAAATATCTTGACTCTTCAGCAGTTCTGGCATTCACCCAGAGATAGTTTATTCTCCTAAAAATAGAGTAAGAAAGGCTTGAGGCTCTCAGTCATCTTTGTAGATACACACATTGCAAACTTTTCCATGATCACTGTTGCTGGGTATATTCCCTGTTGGGGTACCAGACTTTTTCCAGGATTACTTGCCAGATGATTTGTGAATAGCAAATCAATCCATGGCATCATCCAATTTGAATATCCCTGTGATACATAGGAGTCGATTGTTGCACCTAAAGACAGAGGGGAAGGAGAAGAAGAAGCTGGAGAGGAGGAGGTGGAGGAGAACGTGGAAGATGCACAGGAGCTCCTGGAGGGCATCAGGGAGAGCATGGAGCAGAATGCAGGTGATGCCCACACAGCACAGAGCTGCGCTTGTCTCCTTAGCAGTGGATGTTTGTAGAAGACGATTATAAAAGAATACATTTGATCAGTCCCTGCGCCAGCCAACCACCAACAAAACTAAACAAAACAAAACGGGGGCCGGCCCATGTCTCACCCTGGAGAGTGTGGTGCTGATAACACCAAGGCCACGGGTTGGGATCCTATATAGGGATGGCCGATTAGCTCTCTTGGGAGAGTGTGGTGCTGACAACACCAAGTCAAGGGTTAAGATCCCCTTACTAGTCATCTTTAAAAAAAAAAAAAAAAGTGAAGTACAGAAATTATAACAACAACAAAGAATTTCATTCACCCTCCCCCTCCAGGAAAAAAAGAAATCAGTGTTAACATTATGGTGACTATGTGATGGTAGAATGGAAAAGAAATTCCTATGTTAAAAAAAAAAAAAAAAAAAGATCAAATATGTGTTCATAAGTATTTTGCCAGCATCAAACATCATTAATCAAATGGCAAAGGACAAACCAAGAAAAAAATATTTGCCATTAATATGGCAAAGAGTTAATATCCTTAATATATAAAATGCTCAAGCAAATTGGTAAGAAAATCATTAAATCCTTAAAAAGGAAAAAAAAAAAAAGGATGAATAACATGTAACAATAATTCAT